CTCCGAAACACCCGCAACATACGGAATAACCACTGGTTTGGGTCTGGGTTTGGGGTCTTCATTTTCACCTGAAGGTTGGATAAGACACTTCACCCCTAATGCCTCTGATGTGTGTCCCATCAGTGTATGAATGTGATTGGCACTGATTAGTCTCCATAGACGATAGTACATGCTAGCTTTGTAGAGACCTAATAGAGTGCTGTGTGAATGAGGACACAGATTGTAATGTGAAGTGCTTTGAGTGTCCTGGATGGATAGAAAAGTGCTTTATAAGTACAGTCCATTTTACCATTTATCTATTTACCAAAAACGGAAAACAAGGCTGACAAATCCTAAGATTTACTAAGATAGAGAAAAACATAACCAAAAAGGAGACCTCACAAGCACAAACAGAAACACAAATAACCAGAACACAAGGATTATGACACTTCAACTTTTAGGAAAACTTATCAAGCGATTTAGATTCAAAGAAACTCATGTTTGTTGAAGACTGGCAAAAAAAAAAAAAAAAAAAAAAAAAAAAACTGACTTTTTGAGATACCCCCAAATTCAAAACAGAATAACTCAATATCAAATATGTGTTTAGATAATGTGACAGAGTTCAGCTGCATGGCACGTGGATGCAGTCTTCAGAAGAAGCACAGACACTTGTGCAGTTGAAGATGTCTCACATCACAGAGCTTTAATCAGCATGAACAGACAGTTGGTGGAGGTGTTGAAGCGGAACAAGAGAGTTTTGCAAAGTGAGGACCGTGCAGATCATTTCTTTACCCTGACATTTTATATGAAACAATACAGATTTTTTTGTACCCTTAATTTTTTATTTTTCCATCAATAGGCCGACTGTGTGCAAGAATCAGGTACCAGGAGACTGATTTGTTAAATATTAGTCTGCTCAGAGCTGCAGACTAGTCAGCGATGCACACCTTAAGTTCATCACCAAATGTGAACCTTTTTGAAGCCACAATAAAACATGACATTAACATACAAAACAGTATTTTTTATTATACTTTTCATCTGTATTTATATTGTCAGTGTGTGTACTTGGTTTCTGATCCACTGTGAGAATACAAATTTACGTAAGTGGATGGAAATACAGAAGAAGCTCTTTAGAGTTATCTAGTGGATAAACACGAATACTGCAGCCAAGTGATCTGTTTTTTTTTTTTTGTGGAAGCTCTTTTTTTTCTGTTTAGATAAGAGCATATTTCAGTGACTAATGATTTCTTAGTTTTTGAAAAAAGTCAGATAAGGATCAGTGCGTGAGTGCTGGATGAGTGGGTCTGAACTCCTCTTCTTCATCACTTTTGTTCTGAGTTCTTGCTCAGTACTTCCCTAGAATGAAACTATGTTTTGAATAACAATGAAAAAGTAAATTAAAAACCTAGAGTTCAGTGTTATGCTTTATTAATGTGTGAATTTAAGGCAGATGTTGCTTAAAGGTGAAGCAAGGTCAGAAAAAAATAGTATATATAAATAAATAAATGAATAAAAAAAAAAAACAAGAAGCAGCCTGGCATGCATCACCTTCACACATCACCGCACTTGCAGACGTTCTGATCGCGAGATAATCTGTAAAGATAGAACAGATCTTTCCTCTGTGGTTTCATGCAAAAACATGCTTGTGTTTGCTGCTGCTAAGGTCTGCCAAAAAAAAAAAAAGAAGAAGAAGAAGAAAAGATCTCACACCTGATAAACGAAATGTGAGGACGGGGCGCAGTAAAGGTCTCGTGAGAACAAGCGGTCTTATTCAGAAGCTTCTTTAGCTGCTGCTGGTTTCCCCCCACTCTTTCAATGAACATTCAGTTATCATCAGCATCATATGTCACATGAAAACTGTCCTGGTGACCTTTCTGCTCTCTCCATGTGTGATTTTTGACCATTTTCCCGGTACACACAGCCTGGTGAAGACCCACTGTTCTATGAGGACAAAAGCCTATTCCTCATTGGGGGAAATACCATTGGTGGGTCAGAGGTTAGGTTTAAGACCAAGGTGCAAATGAAGCTTAAGCTAGGGTCGGGTATGTAACTGTGAGGTTAGGTTAGGTTAAAGGGTCAGGGTTATAGAAATGACCGGTAAATGCATGGAAGTCAATACAAAGTCCCCATGAGGATAGAAAAGCAAGTGTGTTTGTGAGTCATTGAGAAGTGAAGAAAGGAGGTGGGGACCCATTGTTCACTGCACCCTGATTCATGCACAGCATCCTGCAGGCTAGAGATAAAATCAACAACACCTTCTCCCTCTTTTTTTAGAGGCTGCTACACGTGAAGCACTTCAAACAACTAAACACATTCTTAGTTTTTACCAAACACAGCTGTGTTTTTCAAGAAAGTTCTCTTCTAATTAAATCTTTTTTACACTTTAATGCCAGCGGTTTTGCTCACCCAACGCTGAGAAATGACAGAGGGTTTATTTTTGGTCCAAGTTTGAACATAGGCAGCTATTGTCACACCATATTTGAACTCAGTATCTATAAAACTGACTGGGTTATTGACGGTTTTTTTTGCATTTAAGGTCAGTTGGCTGTGGCGGCCATCTTGACATGGATTGGCCCTGAAGGTTGGTCAGTTGTGGCTGTGGAGCCACAGATTACCTGAAAGTTTCCTTCAAATTGGTTTATTGGTTCACGGTTCATTTACAATGACGACCTGGTCTATTTTTATTGAGAGAAACACACACAAAAAAACATTGTTGTACTCTTTACTCTTTGAGTGTCAAGTGATAAATAATCGGTTTGAACTTTAAAAAACTGAGTCTTGCATTCATTCTGATACTCCCCTCCAGTGTCCCCCCC